CATAACTCCTTCTGGACAACATGGATCTGGAAAATCGTTTCATCCCAAAATCAGTGGTCAAAAACTCTTTCCAAATATAGATTTGTTTGCATACAGCAGTGTTATTCAGTCAGCTTTAGAGGTGGTGGTGAACTTTGGACAGAGGCAGGCTGTTTCCTGGTGCTTCAAGTATTAATACAAAATCTAAATGTGTTATGGCTCCATGCCTTTGTGTGTCAGGCGTCTCTTTATTCCAATCTCATGGAATGAAATCCATATTTCAAAAGGCAAGATTATTCTTATAAAACTAAATAACAATTAAGAGTACATAATTAAATATAACATCATAATTTAACTCAAGCTGTTTCTCTTTCACATCTGAATGATTGAATTTACACAATAGAACATGATTAAAATATAATAAAAAATGCAGGGCAAAGTTCAGTTTCTAATTGGTTATGTATTGTGTACATAAACAGAAACGGGTTACTCCAAGGGCATTAAGACCTCCATAAAACGCAGCACAGGACGGTCAGGTGACATCCACCGAGCATCCACTGACGATTATCCCCGTTAATAACTCAACTGCCAAAAACATTCTGGACCGAAGATGAAAACACGCAGCTGCAATAAAAGGATGAAAATATCAGCTGCAACGTACATGAGCAAGTCTGTGCTTTTGTTCTCTTCTGTTTTAGGACTTAAGGCTGAATGCGGGGGACAAATAATCATGACAAAACTTTAGATCACTCATTTATTACATTTTTTTTTTTTACAAACAGTAAATGGCACGTTTTCATAAATAACACTAAGCAATTCATTTTAACTCTCTTATTAAATAGAATTCTTTTCATTTGTAACAATGTTTCTTCCCATCTTGCAAAATTACTTTTTGAAACTTAACAAATGTAACAAAGACAGGAAGGATATAAACAAGCATGCCACCTGCATATTCAACTCCGGAAAACTTGAAAACACACTTTTTGCATCAGAAACATTTAGGAGGAGCGATATCATTGCACTTCTTTTTTCAGCAAATAGCCAATAAACCAAACAATACCAACACCGTCTGTGTGCAAACACTTTTTTCTCAAAAATATATTACAAATATGTACAAAATGCTCCCGGCAAGTCTTTTCATTCACACATAGGCAAAGTCATGCTGTAGGTAAAGGTCAACTTGACATGCAGGACAGTTTTTGATTTAACTAAGCTGCGATGCTTTGGTGTAACTGAACCTTAAGTTGTTAGAAGCAAGCGTGTCACTTGAAACAAGAGGAATATTGAGAATGATTGTCCTCTGGCTAACAGATCCATTTAGGGGATATAATCCCAGCTGAGAAGCTTGTGGCTTCTGTTTTACGACCCCCCCCCTCGGGCTCTTCAGTTTAAAGCTCTGCCAAGGCAAATACAGAAAGTATTAAGTCTCACTTTAATCCCGTCAGTCACAAAGTTCATGTAATGCAGTTGTTAAATGGCAGTGTGTCAGTGAGCGGCAGTAAATCTAAACTACTTGACACATATCAGGTTTGACCATTCATTTTTTCCCCCTGCTTCCTGTGCTGGCATTTAGTTAGGGGACCAGTCCCCGTGCCATCCCGAGATGTCAGCCAGTCCACTGGCTGGCATCTCGTTTGATATATGAGGGCCTATAGGAACAGTCAGCAGCCGGGGACAGTTTCTAAAATAATCCACTTCACCCGCCCTAACCCATCCCGGCTGGCTGTGGTGGGCATTTCACCCAGTTAATGACAGGCTCGGTGGGGCAGATCAATTTGCCCAATAAAAATAGAATTGATTGGTTGCACGCAGGCAGGCCTGAAGAGACAAGCAGCTGTGCTTTATGTAACATGGGGTGATGTTTGAGGATTGATTAACGTTTCTTGGATCCATGCACAGTCGGAATTTAAAGAAGTTAAACATGACTTGGCAAAGATGAAAATGAGTTGGACGGGGTGAGTGACAGAAGTCAGTCAGCAGTGTATGACATGTTCCTGTTCAGCGTCCAGCACTCTCAGAGAAGAATTGGAAACCTGGAAGGAAACTGAAGCGCGATTTTGCATTTTTAGATCAACACCTCATCAAACTCAGCATAAAGCGGATGATTGTTGTCTTTTGCACTGCACAGAGACTGCACAGTTTCAAGGAATTGGAAATCTTCGAGTGTGTCATAGTAAAATTTGGATCCCACAGCCACTGAACAGAAAGCTGATCCTTTGGGCCCAAGACAGGCCATCGTCCAGCATGTGATTTACTGTATCGTGTCTCTTTAGCACACGTAAGCAGATATGTGCAGAAAAGAACATTTCCATGTATGTCGAAGATTAATTACTGTGGGCTGACATTACAAACCAACCTGAAGAGTTGATGTAGAGGCACTCAGATGGATGAGTCCCTTACCTTAATGTCAGATGTCACGGCCAACCTCTGCTATCATTGACTTCGGCCTGGAAATAACAGATTAAAATTGACGATAAACAAATATAAATATGTTGCCTGGTCGTCTAAACCATGTTAGGCTGTGTTGCTTAATCAAATCTATATGTCTGCAGAAGTTCAAGCATTCACAATCACATTAAAGAGAAGCAACGCACTGATCAATTTGCTGGTGAACCTCTTACATAATATGCTCTTCATGCCAATGGAGGAAGTTGTTTTATTTTTATTGCTCTAACAGATGAAATATAAAATCAGTGGCTTCTTGCAGCCACGGGATTTAAGTGCAACAATATATGAGTACTTTTCCATATTGTAGCTGCATGCGCTGTAGGACGTATGTACTACAAAATTGGGTCACCTTTCTTTGGGGAGTGTTGAATTACTCTGCTGCTGGTCTTGCTCAAGTCTGGGGGAGAGGCACATAGTAGTAACATGCATGTTTAAATGAGCATGTGTAAACAAAGAAATTTTAATATAAAATCACTTGAAAACATGTGACTCACCTTTCCTTTTGTGCTCTGATCTTCTCATCGTCATACCTTTAAGAAAAGGGGATAGAAATGCAGAATGATGAGGAGTTCTGTAACATCCTTCTCACCAGTGCTGAAGTTAAAAGTTCATCGCTCTGTGTTGATGAAGCTCATATGCAGAGACATGTTAAAGAGAAGGCTTTTGAAGGAATCTGCAGTCCTGAGATAAAATTCAGTCACTTGTAGAAGCACTTTTAGGAGCAATAACTTAAGCGAATCATTTTCTGTATGACTTTATCATTCTCCCACATAATTGAAGCAGAATTTCAGCTCACTCTTCTTTATAGTGTTGCTTCATGTCATTGAGGTTTAAAGGCATTTGGTGTATGGACAGCTCTCTTATGGTCCTTCCACAGCATTTCATCAGGTTGAGGTCTGGACTCGATCCTTTCTTTTTCATCCATCGTGTTGAAGATTTGCTGCTGTGCTTGGAATCGCTGTCTCCTGCATGACACAGTTCGGCCAAGCTTTCGCAGTCAGACAGATGGCCTCACATTTGACTCTAGAATATTTTGGTATACAGAGCTGACTTAATGGCTACAAGGTGCAAAATACCCAAATCATCACACCTCCACCACCATGCTTGACAGTTGATTTGTGGTGTTTGATTTTATTGAATTGGTGCTGTGTATTACGGACATTTGGTCTAATCTGTCCGAAAACTTTCCCCTGGAATCCTTCCAAACAAGCAACACTTATTTAATCGTTTTTTCTATTTGTGTTGTCATGAAAGGTAAAATTTAACATGCTAACCAAAGCCTTGAGAGTCCGATATGTAACTCTTGGGTTTTTTGCAGTTTCTCTAAGCATTGCATGGGAAATTGTGGGGTTGTGTTAACATTTGATTAGCAGCATGTATTAATTTCTATGGAAGCAGTAAAGGTGCACTTGTTTCCACAGATTCCACAGAGACTTTCTTTGCACACGACAGTGGAAAAGTTTGTCTGATGTTGGCTCTGTTTCTTCTGTTTTAACTATGCACTGCAGTTCTTCCAAAGCCTCAATCATCTTTTGAATTTGTTTTAAAATCAGTCTGCCATAATTCAGTTTTGAGCACTCTTGCACAGTTTGCCATAATAAAAAAAAAATAAAAAGTGAATGCCTACTCAGAGTTGTAAAGCTCATGTTGGATTTCTTATATGTTTTTAATTTCTTTCCGTGAGGCACGTTGTAACTTTGCTGCATATATAAAGTGTTTTTTAAATATTAATATTATTTTAATCACCTGCTGTTTCGTCTGCACAAGTCCATCTAAGTAAACAGTGAGAAGCAGACATTTAAACAAATGTGAAAAACTGTATATCAGTCTTAGTTATCCATAAACACTGTTGGACTGTTTGAATTCTTTCAAGATGTCAGGATTTGGACAATGATGCATGTTTTGTAATTTTGCCTCTGGACATCATATCACAAAAAAACATTAATGATGTGACCAAAGTGCAGACTTTCAACTTTAATTCAAGGAATTAAACAAAAGTATTGCAAAAATAGATTAGGAATAAAAACTATTTTATATATTCCCTAATTGTCAGAGAGTCAGTGGTGACTGAACAATAGACTAACAACAGTTTCGTGACCTCTTCCCTCTTTATTCCATAACAAATTAAGCAGATAACAGACCTGGAGTTGAGTCTTGCATTCAGTAGTAAATACTTATGGAGCTGACTATATTGCTGTAAGCTTGCAAAGCAGAGTATAAGCTATGAAAGACACTTGAAGCATCTCAACAGGGACCCTTGGTGGCTGAGAGTACTTACTGCAGCACACATTCAGGAATCTGCACGTGCTCCATGGGGATAATCTGACCGAGTTCCTTCAGGGTGTGAACGTAACGGATCTTATCCATGAACTTCACACTTCAAAAAATATAAACAACATTGGGTTACTGTCACAAATTAATCCTAAAATATATGTGCATTCAGCCACGTAGCACAACATACGTACTCTGATTATGAAACAGCAACACTTTTCTCTTTTTAATGTTTTCAGTGTAGCGATGTGACAACTTTAAAATGCTCCAACCTATTTTCCCTTTCTCTCTTTTGTTTTTAGATTTGTTAAGAGACAAGCTTTCACGGCCAAATGTGTCATAAATATACCTAATGAAGGGTCTTGAGATGGCCAGGACAGTGCGGATGAACCATGTTGGGTGAGCGATGATGAGACACTTTAGATTCTTCCTCAGTCTACAGGAAACAAACAGAGTTTATTACAATCCCCATTATAACTTTTAACTGCATGAAATCCCATGTATATTGGTTATCTTCATCTCTAGCATCAAGAACATCTTCAGCTTCACTATCTTCTAATTTCCCAAATTGTTTTCCGAGTTATTTTGACACTGTTCATCTTACTTTCTGTCTATCATCTGGTAGCATCTCTTCAGCCAGCTGATGCCAGGCATCTTTCTGCGAGGAGTTGCTCCATTCAGGTAAACAATCATGTAATCCTCTGCTACCAGCAGCTCCAGGCTGCTCACAACATACCTGAGAACAGACATGAACAACCTATAACTGTACATGAAAATAGCACATAAAATCCCCTCATTTGATTTATGATGAAAAAGAGTTCTGATATTTTATTTGTGGAGATAAAATGATCTTTCATTTAAAGGGGGATCCATTAAACTCACTTCCAGCTCTAGTTCATCTCATAAACTGTACCTGCAGGATGTTACACTTTGATTAGTGAGGCCCTGTTTTGAAGCTTTAGGCTGAGTATTTTTGGCATCACCATTTCATGTTTTGAAGCCAAACATGTTGCCCACGGTCTTCCCCGATCCATATCATACTTTAACACCCCTTTTTAATGGGGGTGTTTTCTGGTGTCTGTGTGTGGCGCTGCTGGGTAGTCTGTGCTGGCAAACAAATGTTACCGGTCTGGTAGTTACTCCTGGGTGGGTCTGGGGCAGGCTTGGGGACTTGGGGTACCTCTGGGCGGGGTTTTGGCTGGACCTGGGGGCTTGGGTGTATTGGTGGAACGAGGAGCCTCTTTAGCTAACTCTTAACCTGGGTTTTTATTGGCTTATGTAGTCTGGTAGTTGCCTGAATGCTGGGGTGGGTATAGTTCGGGCGGAGTGAAGCACACACACTCCCGTTCTCTGTTCGCTATCCAGGGCTGGAAGAGCTGGCTGTCTGGTCAGGGTCTGGGTTAGGGTTATGAGGCTGTTGGGCTGCTCTGCTGCTGCGGAGGCCAGGGAAGTCTACTTGTCTCCATCCCAGAGTGAAGGAGACCATCTCCTGGGTCTGTGGGCTGATTGCCCTTCTACGGGTTGTTGGTTCCAGGACCTGGGAGTGTATGGGGAGTGTGAGTATGTGTACGGCGTCCATTTCTGTGTCTCCATGTTGGGTGTGTGTGTGAGTGTTTGTATACCTGTGCATGAGGGTGGGAATGCATGCTTGTGTTGTCCTGTTTGTCTTTGTGTGTCAGGTCAGGTCTCTACCTCTCTTAGAACATCTCAGGCCAATAATGCCTAGTAATGGTCCACTTGTGAAAGTAAATCTGTTTGTCATTTTATGGCCTTCAGACAACAATTCTGACTTCTACACTGCTGCAAAAAGACAGGAGGAAAAAAAGAAGAAGAAAGGGTGACTCAAAACTCATGCACAGTACTGGAGGGATTTACTGAGGCATAGGAAAGCAGGATTCTTCTAGAATCTAACTCAGGAGTGCCACCTGCTGGCTATTAGAAATAAATGGCACAGATTTCAGGCACTTTACTGGCTCAAGTTCTCAACATGACTCTGGTTTTTTCTTCATCAGAACAAACTGTTTAGCTCCCTTTAGGTCAAGGGGGGGCTTTCCATGCTCAAAGCCAGAGCAGCGTGACTGAGATGACCATATCAGGATATCCTCTCTTACTGACATCACACAGCGCCAAGAGTAGAACAAGCCGTTTAGAACTGACTATTTGAGCAGTCTGAAATCAGGGATCACTATCTCAAACTTTAATATAAGCTCTCCCATTACAACAGTATGGATTAAATAACAAAAAAAAAAAAACCCATAACAGGTCCACTCTAATTTAAGAATTATTTGATTCATTATTTACATCCTCATTGATAGGAACTTTTTACATGGAAACGTTTATGGATTGTAGAGTGAAAAAGAAGGAAGTAAGGTTGTCGCCATGTGATAACAAAGAAAGGATCTTACAGGAAGAGATTTCCATGATGTACGTGTAGTCGTCACAGCTGCTGTCAGGAAGGTAGCAGGCTGCAAACACATGATGCATTCAGACCTTCCCCGTAATATCCTGACAGAAGAGAGAGATGCAAGTTGCTCCATTCGTATGGCAAATTATCACGTGGCAGGTAGGACATGTAAATGTGTCTGTACTCTTTACATTTCACCTACGTTTACATTTAATACCAGGAAGTGGCTGATAAGATTTATAATAGCATAACCATCCTAAGGAATCCATTTGGGGAAACAGTCTAACTAACCTCCATGTGTGACCACTCTCAGGTACGGCCTGATGACCTGCATATCGATCCGTTGCTCCTGGTCGCCAATGATCACTGTTCGCCACAGACGACCTGACGAGTCTCTCTCCTCTTCGCTCTCACCTGGGAGACGCTTAGCAGTAGCCACAGGTGTGTCGTCTGAAAACAAGGTGACACCAGAAAGCAGCTGCTCACAACACATGTAGCCAACATGAGCAGAGCTGGCAAAGGGAAATGAACCTTTTCAAAGCTATAAATCACGATTTATGATGACATTTAGCATACAAACGTAAAATGTACTCTAAGCTCTTTTTACAACATGTCTAATTCATACAAGCACCTTTTTCTTCTTCTAAATGTTTCTATCTAACATTCAAATAACAACTTGGGGTTCAGCATCTTGCCTGAGGATACTTTGGCTGACTGGAATTGCCCAAACCACCATCCTTCCAATTAGTAGCTGACCTGCTCCACCTCAGAGGCAAAAAAGGTCCATATTTGTCAATGTAAACAACAATATTGCTGAAGTTACTGCACATAACCTGGTGCAATTCAAATTTTCCCTTCTTTGTAAAATTAAATATCATGAAATTCTGAATTTTTCCACCTCATTTACAATGCAGGCTTACTCTTCAGCTCACCTTTATACTAAATATGTGGTATTGGCTTGTTCAGACAGCTCAGAGGCCACACCAACAACAATGCACAATACAACTACTCAACATGACTGACAGAGACAACGCCTTTAAATGGAGCATAGAATAAGCGCTGATGTCACTGCATGGCTCAAGCACACGATCAAAAATATGTTACCAGAGAGCAAAATATCTGCTCCCCTTGGATGTGACCTTCTTGCGTTGCTAAAATTTAATAAACAAACAAAAAAACCTGCTCAGCTGGGTAAAAACTCATCCCAAAAGGATACACAGACCCAGCAGCTATTTGTTTTAAACCAGCACGATCCATCAAAGCTGGAAGCACAGATTTAGAACAAGAAAATCCAGAGGAAAAAAACTAAAAGAGATGTGAAGAATGAGAAGCAGCAAAGGATACACCAAAGGGCTCCTAACAAAAGCCCTGCAGAGGGGAACGAAAAGCTACTACTGCTTAGAAAAAGCTGTAACATCTGGACCTGAGCTGATCACTGACTGTGCTTACATTCATGTACTGCACAGACACGAAAGCCTCCCTTATACCTGGGACCTGAAGGATCAAATGTAACCCCTCACTAGACTGTAAAACTGCTAGAGCTCCAGAGCAACACAGGAGTTAGGATTGATAATGTTAGAGCCACCAGCCTTAAATTGGTGTTAAGGCTAATTTTTAACTCTCTTCGGCTTTTCTCCTTTGTTTAAATCAACACACAGTACAATGTAATATCATGTTTTATTGTTATGCTTTGTCTTTTGTGACAGTACCCAGCATTCCCTCTTTTTTAGAGTGTGTGTCATTGTTTTCATTGTTATACTGTGTGTGTTTAATAGTTATTGTGTTGTTTTTAGCTTGCGGAAATAAATGTGCCTCTATTCTACATTTGTTCTGGTTTATTACAACTACCATATAAAACTATATCATTACAGAAAGATTATGTACAGTTTGTTGATTTGTCCTCATTATGTGTTCTAATAATTTCCCCCATAGAAGTTTTTGGATGCTAAATTTGAACATGCATGTACCTTCCCACTCTAGCTCGTTGCCGTTGTTGATGAACTCCAGTGAGTCAGTCTCATCTGGAGTCTCGATGTCATCAACATTGATGTCCAGGTCGTCGGGCGTTTCCAGGAAGTCATCAGAGAGCACCGACCCCTCGCTCTGATCCAGAGACAGGTTCATGTCGGGGGCGACCAGCGTGCGACGCTTACGTTGGGTCATGGATTCGCCGACATTCAGAGTGGTGGGAGGATCTAAGACAAAATGTTATGAAAGTATGGATACACCGTATACGTATAAACATGAGTGTGTCTGTATAAAAAATATAATGGTGTCTATTTAGTCCACTTACTGGTCCTGCTGTCAGAGAGGCCACATGCATCTCCATCCTCTGGCAGTGGCCTGCAGGGAAACGAACGCAGCATAAATAAACAGTTAAATTGGAAATAATTGTACATACATAAGAATTATATCTGGCTTAATGTCTTCCTGCTGCCAAGTAATGATTGTTTTGGCTGTTATATAATTGTATATTATAAGCACAACTGTTAAACTAAATAATCTGCGATGATGAAAACCACTAAAAAACCATGAAGTACTAACAGTCAGTCCCAGCATTTTGCTCTTTGCCCTTTGTTTTTAGAGAGGCTGCGATGCGAAACCCGATTTAAATGTATTTCACCCTGTCGTTTGAGAAAGCAACACCAGCAATTACCAACTCCCTCTGATTTTATAATAGGACAGCTGAAACCTCGGTGAGGGACTGAGCAGGCTAGATTAGAGTGCACACACATATGCAGACAGGCAATAACAGAACTTGCAACACAGACAAACACACCCTGAAACACCACAAGTATGGACTGATGGAGCTGCTGATAATTGCTGTTATTAAATTGTCAGTAGCTAGTAGAAGCAAGGTTAAGACCGCACGACAAGTATTCAAGAGCGAATTAAGCAGTAGGGAAGAGAAAAACAATTTTCAGTGTTAAATAATTTGCTTCTAACACGACCTCCAGGTCTGAATCCCCCCAGATGAATCACAATATCCACTTCTCTTACCTAATATTCCACCACCATATTCATGTGAAGTCATCCTGAGATATTTTTAGCCTTGTTAAATGCATTAAACACACGCATTAGTGATTCTGACACAAAAGCATTTTTCAGACAGTCACAGGACTTGCTGCATGTACTATGTGTGGATGTTTTTGGAAGATAATGAAGTTCTCTGATCAGCTTCTAAAAGCATATTCCCTGCTGTCAAAGAAAATTTTGGCCAGCAGTAGAGCGAGTGGCTAGTCTCCCATAGCTTGGACACTGCGAGGTATTTGACTGCTCCTCTTTTTCCATCCTGTGGTTGCTATTTTGGTTCGCGACTTGCTACAGCTCATCACATAACACCTGATGACTACATCATGGAAAGTACACACCTGCTTCCTTTCGGCCTCCGCGCACTCACACAACATTGACAGACTTTCCATCGAAGCTTGATCTCTTGAAAAAGCTTCTGCACAAATCAGACAAACTGCACGCACAACACAGACTGTTTGTTTCTCTGCCTCGTACCTGGGAATCTTCATCCTGCCACTCGTCCTTAACTCCATGCTGTCCATACGTAAAGGGCTTCCGCTGTACCCATCCTCTGACAGCGAGGATGGCTCAGCTCGCTGTAATAGGCAAACAAACAAAAGAATTCATTGACGTTCACCAGGAAGTTCACGAATGTTTAACACACTGCTGACTAACTAATTCAGTCGTTGCGCCTTATTAAAGTAGACACTCCACCAAATTGCACAACCGAATGATGTCTTTTCTGGCTTCTTATACTTGTCTTATTACAAACTGAAAGTGGAGATAGATGACGTGGCTGCTTTATGATCAGGATTTAACATAAAAAAGTTTTAAGCACTACCAAGAGTTTGTTTATCTCTTTGTTTGCTTAGACGCTTAACCTGACCTGTCAATCATTCGGCATTAAAAAAGACACCTAACTGAAGGATGAACCAGTTGTATCTTCACTTAACAGAAAATCTGGGGAAAACCTGTTTAAATTATATCTTTAGCACTTTGTTACTAGCAGCCTGTTGTGAACATTATTTGTTCCTGTTTCTTTGGTTGAATCTGTGAAAAATACCACAGATAACACCATGTGACAGACATAAAATAACATTTTTGCAGCAACAAGGTGTTTCCCAAAGCTCTTAGCTGAAAATTCTACATAGTAGCAGACCTAAAATCTATCTACTGCAGATAACAGCATCTGAAATCATGTTCTTATAAAATGGAAAAACAAAACAAAACAAACAAAACAGAGAAATGTGCACAGAATATGAGAGATGCATCTGGCCTCTAAGTTGATGTATCTCTCTTCTCTCCTGACGTCTCCTCAGAAATGACCTCAGTAAAGGGTGGCGGCACAAAACTATTCTTAAGAAAGGGAAGCAGGGACAAAAGGCTGGTGTGTGCCAAATTACACAAGAACTAGACTGAAAACCATCCATAAACAGTCTTATGGAGGGATGCATGTCTAAGGTCAGGGAGCAATATAAGAGTGTTTATAGTCGTCTGTAAAACATGGTTGGGACTGAATTTCAGTCGGTGGTGTTGGAATTATGTCGAAATTGATGGAAACATATATCAGGAAAAGAACCATCAGATTTTGATCCAGCATGCAAGACCATGTGAAAATGTCAGATTGGAAACAATATCATTTTGTTCAGCATGACACTGATCCCAAACACACTGTAAATGCTGCAAAGTGCACTTGGATAGAACAAAACACACAATGGAGCACTACCAGAGCCTAGACTTCAACTTCACTGCAGCGGTGTGGGATCATCTTGACAGAAGATGCATTAAAAGTCACAGTATGCACAGTATTGTCCTAGTTGCATCATGGGAAATGTGTCATGTATGAAGCTTGGACCCTTGGAGGTGACACAAAATTTGATATGTCACCCACCTCTGATTCTGTCAGCTTCTCTCTGTTAAATTAAAATGAACTTCATTATGTAGCTGTTGCACTAAAGTAGTTGATATATCATAAACAGGTGAAGCAATGGACTCAGAGGAATTAGAGACTGGAATTGGACGATCAGGAAAGCAGAGTAGATGCGTTGTCTTGTTTGTGTCGGGCAGACTGTATTTAAGAACAAAATCTGAACCCAAGAACAATTTAGCCCTATGTGTTCTGTTGTTAAATCACAGAAATGATAGTTTGACATAACCAAGTCCCAGTGGGTTCCTTCCCCATGATCCCTGGGGAGGGTGACATAAAACAGTTTCTCATAACATACAGATCCTCAGGCACAACAAGCACCTGCTTCTGTAAAGCAGATCATGATCTAAGCTTCCATATTATATAGAAGTCAAAGCAGATATCTCCCTCCATGACATCATGCTTATATTTGGTATTTGATGTAAGGTTTCACAGTGTTTTATTTATAGCAGCCTGACCATTAGGATTAGTCATGCACAAAGTAAACATCATGTGTAAGTCTTGTGTCTCCCTATGTCACTCTCCTAGCCAGAGTTCCTCAGGCTACAGACACAGACTTTACTGTATCCATTTGTCCACTGGATTGCACTGATGTGTGGAATAAAAAAACAGCAAATGTGGCTAAAAGGTGCAGGTCCTCCAGCTACATGTTCCCAGTACAGCTGTATTGTAAATCGATTCTAAATGATGGAGAAAAGAGGTATTTGCACTGCATTGCCTGATAAGAAAGTTGCAGTGTTTGGTGCAGATCCTTAAATGCCATTTTAACTGAGACCTTTCTGCTTAAATTACATTTCAGTTGCCTTCCTCTGATCTCACACGATGACTGCATGTGGTTTATTGTGGTGCGCATGTCTCTTTCAAAGGCTCAGCTGCATGCACAGTGAACTGCTGATTGATGGACACAAAGTAATGTTGCAGCGGCACGTGTTTGGTGGGGATTTATGTCCAGATGGCAGGCCTGTCCTCATTTCCCAAATGCTGTCTCGTGAACTATTGATGCTGTTGCGCTTGGCAAACCTGAGACCTGAAACAGGCGCAACACTTGCATAAATGTTACCACATACTTTTTTCTGACAAGTACTCTGTCTTTGATACACAACAGGTGGGATCAAGTGAAGCGGAGAGGTAGTTTTCGCTCGTCTCTGTTATGAAATCATTTACTCAAAGATAAGCATTAATAGAACAGTTGAAGATGAAAGGCGACAGAGAGGTGGTCATGTACAGCCTGAAGAGAATGATGTCCAAAGCCTAAAAACTTCTCATCTTTTCAACATCTCTTAATATCTCTGACAACACTGAAAACAAAGTAAAAAAATGATCTGTTTGAAGAGTGTGACACCTGAAATCTGCTTCATCCTGACTGTGTAGTTGCAGTTTGATCAGATCAGCTTGTGTTCACAGAAAACCAGCGGCTCCCACGACTGTTATCCCACTGTGATCTAAACATTTCCCCTTTTCCTTTTTTGAGCCCGCTCCACTTCAGAATAAACAAACTAATAATAAAAAGAATAATCTTGGGTCTTACTGTATCACTCTTATTGAGAAGCTGACAAAGAAAATTTGTGTTTGCGTGGCCTTTAAATGCGTGCAAAGAAGCTATTGTGTCACGACTGCCAGTCCTCAATTAGCAGAAAAACTAAAACCGTCTCAGTGATTAATTGCGTGCAGTCACAGAACGAAACAAAGCACTGAATGTCACGTTTGATGTTCTGCCCTCTGGGCCTCCCATCAGTAGAATCTGTTCAGAAGAAGAGCCCTTTATGAGAGCGGAAAGCGGAGAAAACCATGGTTTAAAAGCAGGATACTCACATACTGTAATTACAAAGGCTTTCTGCGTCCCTGCTTCCCTTTCAGATGGTCCCCTTCCTTAAAGCTGCTGAGTGTGGATCATCGCTGATTACATCTGCAGGTGTGTGCTGAGGGCCTGGGCTGCTGGATAATTCTTGTTGTTTACCCCTGCTGTTAATGGAGGCTGAGGCAGTAACTGTGTCCTCCTGTAGAGAGGCGAATGAGAGGAGAGTCTGTCACCGTGCAGCAGAAACATCCCGCTCTCACCTTCCCAGCGTCCTCACTGTGCTGCTTTCT